ACTGACTTTGAGTTAAATGGGTGAGAATCAAATCAGAGTCAAATTCGAAACATTTAGAAAGCTGTAGAAGACGTTCAAATGCAATTCTTAATACACTAAAGTAGCAGAGAAACATACACTTCATCGAAATCATTAGGAACAGCTAACCGAAACCAAACATGTAATTTTAACAATAAAGCTATTTGAAACGGAAAGGCTGAAACGTTGGCGTTGGGGCGCGACAGTTGCGGTGGAGCACGGGCGGTCCTTGCTCTTTCTTCGAATGTGAGCTTGATGTTTAAGCTTTCCAATTGTTTCGCATTGATTTCTTTTGCTGCACTGGTAACGTATGTGGGATTCGTTCATCTTTCTCGTTTCTTGTCTCCTACATGTACTTTTCTGCCATTTCCGCATATGGTCGTCTGAATGTTGCCTTTATCAAGTTTCTGAGCGCACTCATTTTTCCGACATTAGGAGCCACTTCCACCAATGATCCCATCGATAGTGTGTGGGCATTTCCCGTCCCCCGCTTGGACATCCCGCTCAAGGACGGTCCTCGTGCTGTTTTAGCGCATATCACAAAAACTGTTTTCTTCCATAATTATCACAGAGATTGACTGCATCTGTAGGGTTTGCATAATTCAAAGTAAATTCTTTATCGAAGCACCAAATGAGTTCTGCTAGTTCGCCGGAACCACTGATGCATTCTTTTATACTTTACTTATGACATCCAACATCCAAATATTATAAATACTAGATAATTATAACAGCCTATCCTCACAAGGTGTCCATGCAAATTCTACTTTTTCAATGATAGTTCTCTTTTCTTCTGTCCTTCTGCACGAGAAAAAGAATATTTAGGATGGAGCACACTATCTCTATAAAGCGAAGGAAACCCAAAATCCTCCTTTCCAAATCTCTATACTTCCCATGGAGAATAACTTTTTGCGAAGCACGGAACAGACTCTAAAGGCACCGGAACCAATCACTTGAATTCTGTGAAAATTCCCCGTGGAGTTACCGAGTGCGGGGCGAGTGCTCCTCAAAAATTGAGAGGGGGAGCAGATTTAGGCCGATGTCAGACATCGCGAATCGAGGGATTCGCAAGCGCATTCAACGCACGCTCCACCCACCAATAGCGGTTGACCTCCCTTCCGTTGACAAACTCAATCCCCTTTTCCCGGTCTCCAGGACTTCTTGGAGCCGAGTTATGAATTTTCGTCGCAAACTCCGCCCACTTTGGTCATCCCCGCCCACCAATGAGCAGTTGGGCTCCACTCCTCCACCCACCTCTATCCACCTTTTTCCCGGCCTCCGGGACTTCTTGGAACCGAGTTATGAATTTTCGTCGCAAACTCCGCCCACTTTGGTGCATGCTTAGCCCACCAATAGCATTTAACCCCACTCCCTCCACCAACCCTTATCCACATTTTTCCCGGTCGCCGGGACTTCTAGGAACCGAGTTATGAGAGTGGTGGCAAACTCCGCCACTTCGGGGTGTGCCACGCCCAGCGTTCACATTCAACCTCTACTCCTCCTCTCACCTCTACACACGTTTTTTTAGGTCTCTAAGTCATCTCGGAGCCGAATTATGAGGTCTTGTAGGGACGAAATCGAGCTACGTATCTTTGTGGCAAACCCCGCCCACTTTGGTGCATGCCTCGCCCACCGATATCAGTTGACTATCATCTCTTCCCCAACCTTTTCTACTTTTTTCCCATCTCCGGAACTTATTGGAACCGAGTTATGAAGTTTCGTGGCAAACTCCGCCCACTTTGGCGCATGCTCCGCCCGCCAACAGCAGTTGACCCCCTTCCCTCTGCCAACCCTTATACGCTTTTTCCCGGACTCCGGGACTCCTAGGAACCGAGTTATAAGCCTGGTTGCAAACTCCGCCCACTTTGGTGTAAGCCACGCCCAGCCTTGACATTTAGCTTCTCCTCCTCTTCTAACCTCTGTCCACGCTTTCCTATCGCGATTCTGCTCTGTAGGCTTCTCCTAACCGAGTTATGAATATTTTCATTGAGCACCGCTTTTTTAGAGAACGCCCCGCCCACCGAGGGTGGGTCTCCTCATTCGATCTGGCTTACCAACGCACACCTATACCCACTTTTGTCCCCAGTCTCGAGGCTGTTTTGTGACTGAATTTGAAATCAATCAGTACCGATGCACGCCACGCCCACTGTGGGCGGGGCTCCGCTTGGCTGATGTGTGTTTTTTACTTCTAGGAGATATGGTATACCCATCCCAAACTTGACCTGGACCCTGTAGGTTGTTGTTCGCTTAATACCGAATTTCGTGACAGACGGACAGACAGACAGACTAGCGCATTATATATACAGTAGCGGTCAAAAGTTTGGAAACTTTTTTATTTTTGATCTAGCGCGGCCGACACATAACGAAATTGTCCTCAAATTTAGATATTACATACAAAATCAAGTCCAGAATACGATGGGAAGAATAATTTCCAAAAATCTATAATCATATTTGAGAAATAAGATTTTTTCAAGTAATGGCGCGTCAAAAGTTTGGAAACTTTTTGTTTCCCTCATCATTATGATTCCTACTCTTCAATGTTTACTTGTTTCTGTTAATTTTAGTTCAACCATTGAGTAATGTGTAATTTCAAAATGAATTCATATGCAAAGGAAGCAGTTTTTCCATGGGAGGTCCTTTTTTAAACCCTACAATCCGGAATACGAAATTGAAATTGTTTCTTAGTAGTTCAGTCTCTACGGAAGCAATATTATCGAATGTTTTTAGTGTTTTTGGAGTCGAGTAAGCATAAGAAGAATGATCATTCACAAAAAAGTATTCTCACAAGAAAATTGGCCCTCCTCAAATACTTCGAAGGGTGGTTGGCACGTCCCGTACCCCCGATATGCCCAACTAAGAGACGACTTTTTCTGGTTTGAACCTAATCGTATGAAAGTCCAAGCACAGCCCAACATCGGCCGCGACCTGGTGAATATTACGGATGATATCCCAACAAGAAGCCATTGTTGGGCTTCAAGAGCAGGATGGCCCAACTGGCTTCCGCATTCTGCATCCAAAAGAGGTTATTTCTGCTGTAGAACGGGAGCAAAGCTCAATTCTTCTCAAAGACTCGTCGATCTAGCTCTGTGATAGCTACGATGTTAAAAAAATAAAACGCAGTTTTGAAAAGGAGCGGTGTTTCCGATTTACTTTTCCGGGTAGTATTCGCAATACTGACGAAACGAGGTACTTCGACGTGGATGGTGAGATATACCGATCATCATAGCAATTTGTTATAATATGTACGATATCCCGCAAAGTCATCTGTAGTTATGGTTTTTCGGTCGGAACAACCTAACTCTGATTAAATGCGCAGCCAAAAGCGAAGTTGGGTGCCTCGCATTAGCCTGCTTTCAGTTATATCCTCTAGGGTAGACAAATTGCGGGCCAAATAGCAGCTTTTTTCAAAACCTTGGCGATGGAGCGGTTTGCTTTGCGTTGTTCCAATTGAATTTTCGCACCTTTCTCGATGTTCTTAATTTATGAACAAAAAGTAGTTTCCCGATAAGCAAGGCTAAAGTACGCGACGTTGAAAATTTGAATGAACGGCTAGTGAAAGCGAAACTACAGGGCCCGAGACAAATGGATCCTCAAGCGGCTGATGAGAGAGATTAGGAAAGACTTTAGGATAACGTTGAGATACAATATATCAGCCTCCAACAGTGAGTTACGGCCAAGGCTCGACGACGGTTAGGGATGTGCTCTTTGGAAGAAGAGTGTTTGGCCTAATGGATCGCATGTATGGTCCACAGCGTTAGCTTTGAGACACCAGTATCATAATATGTTTAAGGCAAGTTTGATACCAGCTATTGGAACAATAGTCAATCTGAACCGCGAGAGAGGAAAACGAACCACTTGGCGCTTCGGTGGGCTCACATCTGCGCAGCTGGGATGCGTCGTACGATGACATTTTCTTTGTGTTGATTAGAATGCAAGACAAGTGAATGTTCATTCTTGCGCGAGACATCAGCTTCCAGAAATTGCGAGTTGCTGTACGAAGCACCACTAATTTTTCAGCTTTGCTCAGGCATTTATTGATGCAGAGCATTAACTATGGGTGATCCTATGATTCCATACTTTCCTTTTAAGAGATGTACCAGCTTTAATCATAGAATCATCACTGAATCATCGTATGGCCGGTTTCATACTTTGCGAATCAAGCAACTCGCTACTAGCGCCTGTAGAATGAATCAAGCTTTTCTGGTTGGTTCTGATCACATCGATCTTCATCCGGCCTTTAACGAGTGGAAATCCTATCTGAAGGGTCGTCTGTTTTGAGTTGGGGTTAGAAAACGTTCTCCAATGTGAGAGAGAGGGAGTTCACGCCGCAAGCAGGGTGGGCTGCCTTCAAATCCACAAGAAGTGTAACCGAGGATACTAGGGATAGCAAACTGCGTGCGGATCTATTCAACTCAACGGTTCTACCTGCTCTTACATACGCAGGAGAGACTTGGACTCTAACTAAATCCTTAGAAAAACAATTGAAGTCCGCCCAGGCATCGATCGAACGCCGTTTAGTGGGTTTCACTTTGAGACGACAACGAGAGCTAGAACTTCACAATTCGGACATCAGGGCCATATCGAAAGTGAAAGACGCCCTCCTTCACGTCGATGAGGCAAAACACAGATTCGCTGGTCATTTGATGAGGAGAAATGATGGCAGATGGAGTGCTGCAACTGTGCGATGGTACCCGCGCGAAACGGCCACCCGGCCGTCCTCCAGTACGTTGGGCAGACTCTCTAGCTTATCGCAACAACGTATTTGATCCCGTGTCCCTTAAGGTGTCTGTTCACTGGACAACCATAGCTCAAGACCGAGAACAATGGAAAGAAGTTGGGACCCGCGCAAGGCCAACCGCCGTGCAGATGAACGGGTCGTCTAAGTATCTAAGTAAGTAGGTAAGTATCTCTCGTGTGAGAAAGCTTTCAGCGGGTCGAAAAATTAGTGAGGAAGCACCCTCTTGTGCTCTCATTTGAAGCATATGGTATTTTAGCATATGGCGTATAGGTAACATGTCCTTCCTTCGCTTCAAATACGGTAGCATATCGCTAATCATAGCGAAAGGAGGACATGTTGGATGACTATTTGTAATAGTGATGATTGGAACAATTGAGGTAAGCAAACCAGCCCTTTTGGCGTTTCGGCTGGGACCGTATGCTGAATGTTGGGGAGGGGATGGGGTCCCCAACGGTCGACGGTTTACTTCAACTCGGTTGGTACGATAGGAGAGTACTGACGCAAGTGGTGCAGCTGGTCCAGCAGCTCCGCCAGAAGGGCTGGTTTGCTCACCCCAGGACTAAGCCTTGGAGAGGGGACGGACCCGTCCTCTCTTTAAGGCTTAGTTCTGAGGTAAGCACCAAATTGTGGCGGTTCTAAGGACCGAGTTGAAGTGGTCCGTCCACCGTCGGGGACTCCATCCCCTCCCCAACATTCAGCATACGGTCCCAGCCGAAGCGCCAAAAGGGCTGGTTTGCTTACGTCAACAATTGGGACGTTTGAATATTTGAGTACAAGTCATATGTCAGCGTTCAAAGTCAGATTCATTAGCAGAAGGGCACATAATGAAACTGTTTTGCAATATTTATGTTACATCCTGTACTTGTCTTCTTTTCTTGCTCTCTTTTTTTCTGCATGCCTTTGCTGAGCCTTAGTAACGATGTATTTCGATAGGAAAATTTGTCTGCGTTCAGATGAATATGTATGTTGTGATCTTGAAGGCAGTGAACTCGATGGCTACGTGGCGGTGCGGAGCAGTTTTGAGGACACCATTGGCGTCATTGCCGGGCAAGAATTTTCAGAGCTGTGGGGAAGTGGTGTTTAGGAGTGCGGTCCTGTCGGGGGGGCCTTTTTGCTCGTC